ATGCTCAAGTGGAGTCTGTTTTTTGCCCGTGGCCAAAACTGGTGAGTGAGGCCTCCCTGTCCGTTGTCTCGATCCTGGAGCCTTTTGGTTGCATTTTCTTCTCCCCATCCCTCAGGGGTCGGGGTAGGGGTGAGCGAGCAGCTGCGGGGGGCTTTGTTGCCGGCTCGGTGACCTCAAACCACGACAAGGAGCAAAAAAGTACTGCCAGTATCTAAAACCAAGTATAGACTAGTACAAGTAGACTAAATTGTTTTTTGAAAGTATGGGAAGCCTCAAGGTTACCAGATATAATTAAAACTAGTACATTCATCTCTAAGTAATGATTTATAATAATAAGTGTCGTATTTCTTACCCTATCATCCTTCAAGTTACTGCTTTTTGCAACATAAATACATATTTCCTTGGAGGATTGTGTTTATGTAAATACTTAATAGATTGTGAATAAATTAAATTAACACTATGTATCCTCTTCAGACTTGTGTATACTGTCCTGTAGTGTGATCTTTGGGCTAGTGAGTATCTGGATGAAAATGTTTAGTTTTTGAGGGAGTGAAAAATTAATTATTACAGTTAAATTTAAGGGGAAACCTGACTTAGATATTTGTAACATTTCAATGCCAATATCATATTTTGAATCACTTTTCTGTTGTGAAGGCTGGTAGAAAGAAGGACACTTCTACTTTTGATGCTTTCCATTACAAAAGTATGAACACACTAGATTAGATCAACACACCGTCAGGTCAGTAATTTGTTTCTGACAGAGTCCAGAGCCAGATGCCTCAGAGGAAGATGCAAGGACCTACAGTTAGAAGTAAGGGCACTGCTTTCCCTTTAGCACGAAGATAATAAATCTGTTCCCACAGCTTAAGCAGCCTCCTGAAGATGCATCTTGTGCCAGAAATAATGAATAAACTCTTCACAGATTTTTCTGTCTATTGTATTGAGCGATTCTGAAATAGAGCAGAAGCTTTCAAGTGAGATCCTTCCTTGAAGTTTGGGTATAACAAAATAGCTGCTGTGACTTCGAGGCACTGCATAAGGCTGGGAGGCAGAGGCAGCAATAGCTAGGGCAGACCCCAGCCCAAGACCCATAACAATTCACATCTGGACATGCCTAAGCACATATGCTGAAAATCTCTATCTACTGATAGAGGTGAACAGATAATTCCTTGTGTCTGTTAGAAGGGAGTAATATAACACCTTGTGTTAGGTGCTGTTTTGTGAGGATTTCAGAACTTGCAACTATCCTTAGTCTTAGTCCCAAGTTTCTGCCTGGATTTATGGAGAGAACTCACAGAGGTCTCAACATTAGAGCAGGGAAGGTCAGACATAGCCAGAGGATGCAGTAAGGTGTCTACCACTTACACTGGCATGCAAAGCTTTGAGTCAGGCCATCTCTGCCTGCCTTAAATGACACATGGAGTCAGAAACCCCTGAATATGGAGACACCTGTAATTCCCTTTCCCTTTGTGCAGTCACCTAGGAGTGGTAAATACAAAAATACCGAGGGCAGGGTATGTCTTACATCTGGCTTGCAGGTGCATTACTCTGAGCTGTATCCGTCTGGAACCAGAAACAGATGGATGTCCACCTTCGTTACTTCAAAGTACTGACTAAGGTCCACTCCATTAAACAGAAATTGAGGAGAAAGTAATACAAGGGACATGTGGTCACCTTGTGTTCAGAGACTCTGCATGAGCAGCCCAGGGACCAGAGCTGGGACTCCTCTTGTTTATATGGCACACCACTCATGACAACTATAGAGAAAGCTTGTCATCTGCAACATTAATTTTGCGTATATGCATATGTGAACTCAGTAAACTAATTTTTTACAAACATAAAATTTACTGTGGAATTAAAATACATAAAGTAGTGGTTAAAGTTTCCCTCCTCTGTACATTATCTATGATGTCTGCTTCTACTGTGTGGTCATATAGTTGCCTGAATGCATATTCTGTACCTTGTTGAATAAATCAAAGCTGTTATGTATTTTACCTTTCATAGTACTACTGCTTATGAGATACTGTGCCTGTGTATTCAGATTAGCTTGGATGTTCATCACAGAGTGACACCTTTAGTACTTAGACAAAACTGCAAGTGATTAAATACTGTTTGACTCAGTGAGAGCATTAAAATTTAATATGCTGATTTATTACGTTCATCTTCTTTGCTTCTAATACAAGTTTATTTAAACAGCCTCCTGTATATGAATTTCAGTTTTGGGGCTTATACTGTTCTTTCTTTTCACAAACTTTTTAATAGTCATCTCTGTTGCAACAGAAGAATGAAAATAAATCAGTATATTTCAGTAATTACAATAAATTAATTAGAAGGCAGAAGTGGAGATAGTTTGCATTTCACTGACTTTATAATTATAGAGTTGCCAGTGCATGGGTTATTACCTCCTTCCTTCTTGTTCATTATTAAGTGAAGACTTCAAGAAAGCCCTTAATCTTTTCTACCAACCATGGTTGTCAGAGATGAGATATGGCAAGGATGGAAGAAAAAGAGGAAGGAAACAGGTTAGTGCTGTCCCATGAAAAGAAGATGCACCTAATTACAGAGTGAATATGGACTGCTTTTCAAAGTTATTAATTCTGGCTTGGTCTTCTCTTTGGGGGAGTAGCAATTTATATAGTGTACATACAGCCTAGGGAGAAGAGAAATTGTCACTCATCGTAAGAAGAAGGAAGGTCTATGCTTTAGGTGATTGAAGTCACTAGTGATGTATCCCAGGGCTTAATACTGGGGCCAGTACTGTTCACCATCTTCCTTAATGACCTGGACGAAGGAGCAGAGTGCACTTTCAGGAGGTTCACAGACAATACAAAACTGGGTGGACTGTTTGATGTGCCAGATGGTTGTGCCACCATTCAGAGAGACCTTGATAAGCTGGAGAACAGGGCAGAGGGGAATCCCATCAACTTCAACAAGGGTAAAGGCAAAGTCTTACACCTGGAAAGGAATAACCCCAGGCACTAGAGCATGCTGGGAGCCCACTGGCTAGAAAGTGGCTTTGCTGAGAAGATACTTGGAGCAGAAGTTATCCAGGAGGTGGACAACAAGATGACGATGAGCCAGCAATGCGACCTCATGGCAAAAAAGGCGAGCAGCCTCCAGGGCTACATTAGTAAGCGCGTTGCCAGCACGTCAAGGGACGTGATCCTCCTTCTCTTCAGTGTTGGTGAGGCCGCATCTGGAGTACTGTGTCCCATTCTAGACTACCCAGTACAAGAAAGATATGGACTTACTGAGAGAACTGGGACTGTTCAGCCTGGAGAAGAGAAGGGTCAGGAGAATCTCATTAATGGAGGGAATGAAGAAGAGGCAGCCAGACTCTTCTCAGTAGTGCCCACTGACAGGAGAAGAGGCAATGGGCACAAGTTGAAAATCGTGAAATTCCGTCTGAACACAAAACCCCCACTTCTTTACTGTGGGGGTGGTCAAGCACTGGAACAGATTGTCCAGAGAAGTTGTGGAGTCTCTATCCTTGCAGATACTTAAAGCCCAACCGGACACCATCCTGGGCATCATGCTTGAGCAAAGATGTTGGACTAGACAGAATTAAGAGGTCCCTTCCAACCGCATCAGTTCTGTGATTCTGTGATTCTATGAACTGATCCTATTATTTGATTGAAGTCTGTGTTGTGGGTTAACCCCAGTATGCAGCTAAACACCACATAGCCGCTTGCTTACTCCCCCTGTGGTGAAATTGGGGAGAGAATCTGAAGGGTAAAAGTGAGAAACCTCATGGGTTGAAATAAAGACAGTTTAACAGGTAAGCAAAAGCTGCACACACAAGTAAAGCAAAACAAGGAATTCATTCCCTGCTTCCCATTGGCAGGCAGGTGATCAGCCATGTCCAGGAAAGTAGGGGTCTATCATGCATAATGGTTACTTGGAAAGACAAACAACATGACTCCAGATGTCTCCCATTCCTCCTTTTTCCCAGCTTTTACTGTTAAGCATTATGTCACATGGTATTGGTCAGTTGGGGTCAGCTGTCCCAGCTGTGTCCACTCCCAACTTCTTCTGCATCCCAAGCCTACTCACCAGTGAAGCAGGGTAAGAAGCAGAAAAGGCCTTGATACTGTGTATGCACTGCTCAGCAATAGCTAAAATATCACTGTGTTATCAACACTGTTTTGGTCACAAATCCAAAATATAGCACCATATGAGATACTATGAATGAAATTAACTCTCTTCCAGCCAAAACCAGTACAGCCTGTCTTCAAGGGCAATGCTGGAGAAACATTAGAAGTATCTCTTTTTTGAGTTGTTGACTACTTTGGAAATCAGATGACTTCCGTAATATCTAAAGTGATAATGATTCCTGTCACTCAAATCCCATCCTCAAGTTTTGCCCTTCCCAGTAGTGCCTCAAAGATATCAAAGACTACCAGTATGAAAACAAATGTTGAGATCAGATAAAGTTCTTCCATACAGAAAACAAGATGTATAGGTAATAACTGGCAAACTACCCAATTATATTTTTAATACCTTTTCCTATATATTTACGTGTAAAGATTTGAGCAAGGTGTGATTTGTAGATGAGTGGAAAGCTAATGCAGTACTTCAAGAAACTTAGGACATACTCTGAAAGGCTGTAGATGTTGTTTCCTTCTAAGTGTAGGCAGGTCCTTTCAGTTGAAATCCTGGGGACACTTCTCTTGTATTAAAAAATCTGTAGCTGTTAGGACAGGGAAAATACTCTAGTGAAGGGGTATCACTAGTAACAATAAGATACTAATTTTGGGATGTGAACTGTCCTTTTGTTCCAGTAGTTGTTAAATTAAGATGCTATCTTTAAGAGCTCGTTTCCAGACTGGTGTAAACCACCTAACAGCACACTACAACTATGGGGTGGTCTTGTCCTACCCTGTATCTTTCTGTTTTTTGCGATATGCTTTGCTTCAGTTCTTTTGATTGTGAGACTTGGAGTGAATAGGATCTGTTTACTGACCTGACCAAAGCAATCTAAAGGACTAGTGGGAGAAAACGGCCCAGAGCAGGACAGGGAAAGCAGAACTGTTTCTTTTGGTGTGATTGTGGTAATAGATCAGTTCAAACTGATAACGAAATCACACCCTTTCTGTTTCCTGCAAAGCCCATTGTCAACACCTGTCAACACCTGTTTACTGGATCACTGCACTGTACAGTTAGATAAGTGACAGAGATACTGATTCATGACAATCTTTGTAGTGTTTCCTGAATGGGTAGTCTCTGCAGTTACACCTTTGACAATTTAGGAAACTGACCTTACAAAACCCTGAGAAAAATTGTATTAAGAGTCTATAGCTGAACTTGCCCTTCTGCATGAACCTTGGAGGGCTGCTTGTCTGTGGCATTGTCTTCAATACCTCAGTTGCAGCTGAGCAACCATCCTTTCTCACCCTGTGCATTGTTTGCCTTTATTTGCTCCTTCCGCAGCATAAATGTTAATCTGTTCCAATGACAAACCGTGTGGAAGGAATAGTTGACATGCCACACATTGTTCATGACATAGTTCTCATGCAACATCACTGCTCATCCTGTCTCTCTTCATTTGATTACAGTTTTTCTAAAATGTAAGATTTCTGGTGAAAGGTTTGTTCTATTTTTTATATAAACACTTCTATCATTGCTTAAAAAACAGTAGGAAACATTAATCTTCATATACAAGGTACAGTTCTCAAAACCCTTCATGAGCACAGTAGGATTTGCATTGTCAGTATATGAGATCAGACTGATCTTTGACCTTCTAGATTCTTTTCTGCTTTCTTCCATTTTCTCTTTGACATCTTCCTTCACTTTTATTTCAGCTCCTCTTCAATTACTTTGCTACCTACTTCCAAATTTCTGACTCCATCTGCTCTGCTTCTTCCAAATGTCACACTTGGAAGTCATGTCCCCACTCTGCTGTTTTCGTGAACTAAGTTTTGGTCTGACTAGCAATGATTTTTGTGTGTCATAGTGTCCTCTTAATTACCTTCAGAAGGAGGAATTTAAAAGGTATATTTTCTCAAATAACTAAATACTGGACCTTTTGGTGCTGAATGTTTCTATTATACAGACTGTTGGATAGCGCTGTAGGTACTGTAGTATAGTGCCATGTGAGAGATCCAAAATCTAACATTTACCAGTCGGGGGAAAAAAAGTTATTTTAAAATGTTCCCTAGAGAGTGAGGTTGAATCCTTGCAAAGAAAGACTTCATTATTTGCAGTAATAGCAGGCTGAAGTTTGTATATACATTGTGCTCTGCTAATTTGATTCTTCTAGTCTAAGCAAGGGATTGAAATGGATGTTCCAGCCATGTCTTGTGAAACCCATTTAAGAAAGATTGCGCTCATTTTCAGTTGGGATAATCCTTAGTTCCAGTAGAATACCCAGCAAAAATTACCCAGTAGTTCTCCAAGGCTCAAAGCCAATGCTGTGTGTATAAAAGGTTTAAAATTTTGCCCGTTCTCCATGCAAAAGTTCTGAAAAACAAGAAAATTCAGGTTCAAAATCATGTGACTTTCGCCAAGGTTCCTGGGAACTTGCAGCCCAGACTTTGGACTCGGGTATTTCAGACCTTAAAGTTGTGGCTCTACCAACAGTAGCAAATAACTTCTGCGCTGCTCTGAGTGGAGAAATAGTTTGATTCAAGTGTTGCTTGTCCTCACCACAGCTATTTTTACAGAAAACCACAAGATTTTACTGGCTGGACTTGATGGCATGTGAATTCTGCTTTCCAAAGAGTATGAAGAACAGCAGTTCTGGCAGTTTCATTTCCTGACTGATGGCAAAAAAAAAAAAAAAAAGGAAAAAAGACAGCGACCAGTGTGACACAACTGCTACACTGGATTTTGTGGTATCACTTAAATAGAGAGGCAGGGTGCAGCTCAGCTGTTTGTAACCACAGAAACAGAAAAAGTTATTTGGAAGGAAGGAGGAAGTACTCCAAATCTACTATGTCTCAAACCTGACAGTGTCTCTTTAAAATGTTCTTAAACCTGTTTAACACGCCCCTACTTTTCACCACTCCCTTGGAACATGCACCTCTTATAGCAACTTGTAAATCAAGAAAAACCAAACCCAGCAATTTATTCTCCAGTCTGTGGTGGCTATTTTCACACACCCAACCTGGCCATATAATTAAGCTACAACATAGCTAGCTGACTTGAGGTTTCTGCTTCAACCTAAAATGAGTTTAGCAGTGTGAGTTTAAGTTTCAAATATTCTGGAGCAGAATTGTGTATTTAAACATGAAAATTAAGAAAAGATAAAGAATTCAAAGATGAGGATTTAGGCACAATACTATGGAGGTCCTGCTCACAGGTTCGTAGAAGATGCCAAACCTCATTTATGCTGGTTTGTATGCAGCTCAGGGATCTGAACAGGTTGAATATAGTTACTTACAAGTAAAGCAGTTAAATCCAAAAATTTTGCTATAGCTAGAGGGTTCAAATTCAGAAAGATCTGGGAATATAGTTACTTACAAGTAAAGCAGTTAAACCCAAAAATTCAAGTCTTACTGTTGCTATAGCTAGAGAGTTCAAATTCAGAAAGATCTGACATGTTCCTTCTAAAAATAGAAGGAATATTTCCTCTGTATGTGTGAATGAAAGGGACAGAACTGCCAGGAAAGCACAATGATTTTTTGGTTTCTCTCTCTCCTCTCATCTTACAATTTCTCTGTGGGTGAGACTCCCACGTGGCCAGATTATAGTTGCCTTGTCACGCTTTTGTAAGTGGCTGCAGTGCAGTAGGGAAGCTGTTTTCTACAATACATCAGAGAACATGCAGTTTGCTTGAGAATGAGACAAACTTTGACGTAGTACAGATGCAGTAATGCTGAGGCTGCGGAATGAGCTTTGCAACTTGAATTTTCGCCAGACACAGAGAAAAAAAAGATCTGCATGCTTGTTTCCTTTTTCCTTTTAATTTTGCAAGAAGTCATCGCTTTCTGCAAAAGCAAAAATTTTATTTGAAATCCTGCCATTACATGGCATTCATCTGACATGTCTGTTTACAGTTTAGATGCCTACATCTGACTTGTCATCTTATCCCTTTCAAGACAGTGGAGAGAAATAGTAACTTCTAGAGCCCAGTGCTCTGACCTACTTTAGTCATCTGCGTTAGAGCAAGATTACATTAGGGGTGTCTTGAGTGACAAATGTAGAGGTAAAAGCCTAGCTTTTGATGTAGCTTAGCTTTTTTGT